TTCTCTGGCCCGGGAGTGCAGTGGAGGATGGCCCAGGTCCTTGGGCCCTGCACCCACATTGAATACCAGGAGAGGCACCTGGCTCCTGGCTTCGAATGGGCGTGGAGTGCCAGCCACATCGGCCATTGGAGGGTGAACCAACGGTAAAGGAAGACCTCTCTCTCTCACTGTCCTCTCTGCCTGTCAAAAAAAACACATAAAATTTGTCAGAGCCGGCGCTGTGATGCAGTGGGTTAACGCCCTGGCCTGAAGCACCGGCATCCCATATGGGTGCTGGTTTGAGACCCAGCTGCTCCTCTTCCAATCCAGCTCTCTGCTATGGCCTGGGAAAGCAGTGGAAGAAGCTCCTGGCTCCTGGCTTCAGATAGGCTCAACTCCAGCCATTGCAGCCAATTGGGGAGTAAACCAGCAGATGGAAGACCTCTCTCTCTCTCTCTCTCTCTCTCTCTCTCTGCATGCCTCTCCTCTCTTTGTGTAACTCTTTCAAATAAATCTCTTTAAAAAAAAAAAAAACATAAAATTTGTTGCATACTCTTTTTTTTTTTTTTTTTTTAAGATTTATTTATTTGAGAGGCAGAGTTACAGAGAAAGGGAGAGACAGAGAGACAGGTCTTCCATCTGCTGGTTCGCTTCCCAGATGGCTGCAATAGCTGGAGCTGGGTTGATTTGAAGCCAGGAACCTGGAGCTTCTTCCAAGTCACCTGCACGGGTGCAGGGGCCCAAGCACTTGGGCCGTCTTCTACTGCTTTGCCAGGCCGTCACCAGAGAGCTGGATTTGAATTGGAGCAGCCAGGACTCCAACTGGTGCCCATATTGGATGCTGGCACTGCAGCTGGAGGCTTGACCTACTACGCCACAGTGTAGGCCCCAGTATACTCTTTTTTTTTTTTTTTAACAACTTTGTTAACGCACGAGGTGGCTTCAAAGAGTTCATGGAAAATTTACATTTTTAAAAAAGATTTATTTATGTGAAAGGCAGAGTTATAGAAAGAGGGAGAGACAGACAGAAAGAACTTCCATCCACTGGTTCACTCCCCAAATGGTTGCAACATCTGGAGCTGCCCAGACCAAAGCCAAGAACCAGGAACTCCATCCTGGTTTTCCATATACTTGGGCCATCTTCTGCTGCTTTCCCAGGTGCATTAGTAGAGAGCTGGATTGGAAGTGGAGCATCTGGGACCTGAACCAGCACTGATGCCAGTGTCACAGGCAGCAGCTTAAACCACTCTACCACAACATCAGCCCCCCCCCCCCCGAGTCTGTTTTTTTATTTAACACTTATCTATTTACTTGAAAGGCAGAGTTAGGGGGCCGGAGAGACGGAGAGAAAGAGGTCTTCCACAGCTGGTTCCCTACCCAAATGGCTACAACAGTTCGCATTTTCTGGTCTCCCACATGGGTGCAGGGACCCAAGCACTTGGTCCATCCTCTGCTGCTTTCTCAGGCACATCAGCAGGGAGCTGGATCAGAAACAGAGCAGTCAGAACTCGAACCTGCACCCATATGGAATTCTGGCACCGCAGGCAGCAATTCAACCCACTACACCACTGGGCCAGCCCCATCACATTTTTTTTTTTTTTGCAGGAATGCAAATTAGTTTATTTATTTATTTATTTAAATTATTTATTTATTTATTTATTTGAAAGGCAGAGAGAGAGAGAGGGAAAGGTTCACTCCTCAAATGGTCACAACAGCTGGAGCTGGGCTGATCCAAAGCCAGGAGCCAGGAGCTTCTTCCAGACCTTCCTGGTTGCAGGGGCCCAAGAGCTTGGGCCATTTTCTACTGCTGTCCCAGGCCATAGCAGAGAGCTGGATCGGAAGCGGAGCAGCTGGCACTGCAGGCAGTGGCTTTACCCACTATGCCACAGCACTGGCCCCTCACATTCTATTTTAATTCTGTTTTTCTATGAACTTTTTAAATATAATAAACTTCATACTTAAGGTGTATACTTGGTAAGTTTTGACATTGGTGCACACTGGTGAAACCATCAACCTTCAATCAAGATAACAAACATATCCATCACCCCTGAATGTTTCCTTGTGTTTCTTTGTAGTGTGTCTTTCCTGCTCCTCTCTGTCTATCTGTGTCTAGGCAACCATTAATCTGCTTTCTGTCCCTATAGATTAGTTTGTATTTTCTAGAATTTGAAACTTTTTTTAAACAGAGAAATATTAAGAATCTTAAATCTTGGGTCCAGAATTGTGCTATAGTGGGGTAAAGCCACCACCTGTGACTCCAGCATCCCATATAGGCGCCAGTTCATGTCCTGGCTACTCTACTACCAATCCAGCATTCTCTGCTAATGGCCTGTGAAAAGCAGTGGAAGATGGCCCAGGTGTTTGGGCCCCTGCCACCCATGTCAGACACTCATTTGAATCTCTTGGCTTCATCCTGTTCAACTCTTGACTATTGTGTCTAACTGGGGAGTGAACCAACAGATGGAAGATTGCTCACTCTCGCTCTCTCCCCCCGCCCCCGTTTCTCCCTCTATCTAACTCTTTCAAATAAATAAATCTTAGAAAAAATTTTAAATCTTTAAAAACATAAGAGGTCAGCAGGGGCCGGTGCTGTGGCGGGGGCATCCCATATAGGTGCTGGTTCTAGTCCCGGCTGCTCCTCTCCCAATCCAGCTCCCTGCTATGGCCTGGGAAGGCAGTAGAAGATGGCCCAAGTCCTTGGGTCCCTGTATTCACACGGGAGACCGGGAAGAAGCACCTGGCTCCTGGCTTCAGAATGGCGCAGCTCCGGCCGTTGCAGCCATTTGGGGAGTGAACCAATGGAAGGAAAACCTTTCTCTCTGTCTCTTCCTCTCACTGTCTGTAACTCTACCTCTCAAATAAATAAATAAATAATATATATATATATATATATAAATAAAAAGGCCAGCATTGTGGCATAGTGGGTAAAGCCGCTGCCTGTAATGCTGGCATCCCTTAGGGGCACCCGCTCATGTCCAGGTTGCTTCACTTCTTTTTTTTTTTTTTTTAAGATTTATTTATTTATTTGAAAGGCAGAGTTACAGAGAGAGGAGAGGCAGAGAGAGAGAGGTCTTCCATCCGCTGGTTCACTCCCTAATTGGCCATAACAGCTGGAGCTGCATCAATCTGAAGCCAGGAGACTGGAGCTCCTTCTGAGCCTCCCATGTGGGTACAGGGGCCCAAGCACTTGGGCCATCTTCTACTGCTTTCCCAGGCCATAGCAGAGAGCTGGATTGGAAGTGGAACAGCCGGGTGTTGAACCGGCGCCCATGTGGATGCTAGAGCTTCAGGCCAGAGCATTAACCCACTGTGCCACAGCCTCACTTCTGATCCAGCTCCTTGCTAATGACCTAGGAAAAGCAGTAGAAGATGACCCAGGTGTTTGGGCCCCATTTATGCATGTGGGAGACCCAAATGAAACTCTTGGCTTCGGCCTGGGCCAGCCCTGACTGTTGAGGTTATTTGGGAATGAACTAGCAGTTCAAAGATGCCTCTTCTGGGGCCGGCACAGGGGTGTGAGCGGTTAAAGCCACCACCTGCAGTGCCAGCCTCCCATATGGGCGCTAGTTCCAGTCCCAGCTGCTCCACTTCCCAGTCCTGCTCTCTACTATGGCCTGGGAAAGTAGTAGAAGATGACCAAAATCCTCGGGCCCCTGCACCCACATGGGTGACCTGAAAGAAGCTCCTGGCTCCTGCCTTTGGACCAGCGCAGCTCCAGCCTTTTTGGCCATCTGAGAAGTGAACCAGCAGATGGAAGACCTCTCTCTCTCTCTGCTTTTCAAATAAATAAATAAACCTTTTATGACCAGGAAGAAGTACCTGGCTCCTGGCTTCGGATCGGCACAGCGCTGGCCATAGCGCCCATTAGGGGAGTGAACCAGTGGAGGAAGGAAGACCTTTCTCTCTCTCACTGTCTATAACTCTGTCAAAAAAAACAAGCAAACAAACAAAAAAAAGAACCTGGAGATAGAAAAGCTAGTCATCTAATAACTAAAGAAGCCAGATGCAGATTTCATCAGAAACTACATGGAGTAACTGCCTAATTGTAGTGTGGCACTTTCTCCAATCCGGAAAAAAGGGGGAAAATGGAAGGAATGAGTAGAAAGCTCGTGAATTTGACAATAATAAATTTCGACATGTTTTATATGGTTAACACAACAGAACTAAAAATAATTTTAAGGCTTTGGGCCAGATTTGTTATGCAATCTATTTGCGTAGATTATTTAAACCGGAAACCCAGCGTTTTAAAAAGTCAAGCCAGAATTTGTAAATGTGTCATGGAAAGATCTGAAATAAACTTTATAAAGCTCTCTAGGCTGGGAATTTGTTAACAAAACCATTACTCACTGAAAATCGTGTGTGTGTAGTTGTCCCTCCACCAAAATAAGAAAACTATTAATCCTAAAAATATAGTTTGTTGTTTCTTAGCTGTAAACTACTAAAACATGGAAAACCTAGGACATTTATGAATGTAGATAGTTTATTTTCCTTTTTCAGATTTTAACTTTACCTTTGGTAATGTCTTAGTTGGTTTGAAGCTGACAGATTTTAAATATTATCAAATATGACTAGAAAAATAAATTACATCAGAAGTATTACAAAAGAAAAAGAATAAATAATTTCTTGCAAAGAGATTATCTGGTCTAGATTCATTTAAGTGTTGTCACTTGGTTTCTGGATTTCTATACTGTAGGCAAAGAGTGACCCAATAGTCTATCTGGCCCTGCAAATGTTATTTTTGCATATTGTGGCATATTAAAGAATTAGGTTGTAATTTGGAAAGATTATATTATTAGTTATTTTGTAATTACTTACATTTTCTTTTCATATAAGTTATGCTTCCTTATCATTCCAGTTAACATCAAAAAATTCAATGGCCAGTCTTTTATTGTATTATACTAGATATTATATGGAACACTTTTGAGAGATATGCCTTACTCTCTAGGTCTTGTATGTTAAAAAGTATACACAATATCCCTCTATATTTTCGGGCTTAATATCTATTTATTTTGTTTTTGAAGGCTTAATGAAGAGACTAGAAGAAGAGATAAAATTTAATTCATATATGGTAACTGAAAAATTTCCTAAAGAATTAGAGAACAAGAAAAAGGAATTGCATTTTTTACAAAAAGTGGTTTCAGAGCCAGCTATGACCCATTCTGATCTTCTTGAACTTGAATCTAAAGTAAGTGACTCATCTTTTTATAGCTCTCAATTTTATTTCATCTTTAGTTCTGTAAAAATTTTGTTCACTGCTTTCTATTGTGTTTCATTCTTGGCTCTAAGTAAATCTGTACCAAGAACTGGACACTCGGGGCCGACACTGTGGTGTAGCGGGTAAAAGCTGCCACCTGCAGTGCCGGCATTCCATGTGGGTGCTGGTTTGAATCTCAGGTGCTCCACTTCTGATCCAGCTCTCTGTTATGGCCTGGGAAAGCAGTAGAAGATGGCCCAAGTCCTTGGGCCCCTGCACCCACCTGACAGACCTGGAAGAAGCTCCTAGTTCCTGGCTTCAGATTGACCCAGCTCCAGCTATTGGGGCCATTTGGGAAGTGAATCAGCAGATGGAAGACTTCTCTCTTTCTCTGCCTCTGCCTCTTTGTAACTCTGCCTTTCAAACAAATAAGTAAATCTTAAAAAAAAAAAAAAAAAATAGAACTGGAACCTCTTACAAGGAGTTGTCCTTTATGAGGACTTACAGAATATTATGCTGGTAATTAATCCACAGGATGTTATAAAAGCCTAGTCACCTGATTAGGAAATTAAGTAACTTGAGTATGTAAAGTAATACACGTGAATTGATTCATATGTTTATGCCTTCTTATATAATGATTTAGATAGCAAATTTTAAAATACTTTACATATAATTAATTTTTATTTCCAAGCATAATACAGCAATTTTACATTTAAAGCTGGTATATATATATATTTTTTTTTTGACAGGCAGAGTGGACAGTGAGAGAGAGAGACAGAGAGAGAAAGGTCTTCCTTTTGCCGTTGGTTCACCCTCCAATGGCCGCCGCTGCAGCCGGCGCACCGCGCTGATCCGATGGCAGGAGCCAGGATCCAGGTGCTTTTCCTGGTCTCCCATGGGGTGCAGGGCCCAAGCACCTGGGCCATCCTCCACTGCACTCCCTGGCCATAGCAGAGAGCTGGCCTGGAAGAGGGGCAACCGGGACAGAATCCGGCGCCCCAACCGGGACTAGAACCCGGTGTGCCGGTGCCGCAAGGTGGAGGATTAGCCTATTGAGCTACGGCGCCGGCTCTAAAGCTGGTATATTTTTATTAGCCTTTTATGCCAGCATTGTAATTACTAAATTTGTCATTATGTTCATTGACGGCTGGTATCTAACATTTTACCTTTAGAAATAAAACACTAACATTTCAGGCATGGAAAGCCAAGACACTCTGGCAAAAAAAAAAAAAAAAAAAAAAAAAAAAAAAACCTAAATGAAAGATCTCTGTGAGTGAGATCCCAGTGGAAAGAACAGGTCTTCAAAGAAGGAGGAACCTTTCTCTGAAGGGAGGAGAGAACCTCCACTTTGACTATGACCTTGTCTAAACAAGATAAGAGTCGGAGAACTCAAGGGGCTTCCATAGCCTTGGAAACTCATGACTGGAGCATAGGGAGATTACTGATGCCATAAACAGGAGTGTCAATTTGTAAAGTCAACAACAGGAGTCACTGTGCACTTACTCCTCATGTAGGATCTCTGTCCTTAATGTGCTGTACATTGAGGCTTAATGCTATAACGAGTACTCAAACAATATATTTCACTTTGTGTTTCTATGGGGGTGTAAACTGTTGAAATCTTTACTTAATGTATACTAAACTGATCTTCTGTTAAAAAAAAAAAAAAAAAGAAGAAGAAATTAGCAATTCCCAACTTGACTCTCACTGGGATTAAACATGACAATAGGTCTGATCTGATTTCATCATCATTTAAAAAATCATCTATTATTTTTCACTTTATGTTTCTGTGTGGGAGCAAACTGTTGAAATCTTTACTTAATGTATGCTAAACTGATCTTCTGTATATAAAGAGAATCGAAAATGAATCTTGATGTGAATGGAAGGGGAGAGGGAGTGGGAAAGGGGAGGGTTGCGGGTGGGAGGGACGTTATGGGGGGGAAGCCATTGTATCCATAAGCCGTACTTTGGAAATTTATATTCATTAAATAAAAGTTAAAAAAAAAAAAAAAGGAAACATACCAGGGGATTCGAATTCAATCCCATCGAGGTGGCATGTACCAATGCCATCTCACTAGTCCCAGTGATCAATTTCTGTTCACAATTGATCGTAATGATAGGACTAAGAACCAAAGGGATCACATAAACAAGACTAGTGTCTGCAAATACTAGCTGATAGAATGAAAAAGGGAGAGAATGATCCAACATGGGAAGTGAGATACACAGCAGACCCATAGAATGGCAAATGTCCTAATAGCACTCTGGCCTCATAATCAGCCCTTAAGGCATGCGGATCCAGCTGAAATGCCCATGAGAGTATTTCAGGCATGGAAAGCCAAGACACTCTGGGGGAAAAAAAAAAAAAAACTAAATGAAAGATCTCCACGAGTGAGACCCCAGTGGAAAGAATGGGTCATCAAAGAAGGAGGAACCTTTCTCTGAAGGGAGGAGAGAACTTCCACTTTGACCATGGCCTTGTCTAAAAATGATCAGAGTCAGTGAACTCAGGGAGCTTCCATAGCCTTGGCAACTCATGACAAGAGCCTAGGGTGATTACTGATGCCATAAACAAGAGTGTCAATTTGTTAAGTCAACAACAGGAGTCACTGTGCACTTACTCCTCATGTAGGATCTTTGTCCTTAGTGTGCTATACATTGAGATCTAATGCTGTAACTAGTACTCAAACAGTATTTTTCACTTTATATTTCTGTGTGGGAGCAAACTGTTGAAATCTTTACTTAATGTATGCTAAACTGATCTTCTGTATATAAAGAGAATCGAAAATGAATCTTGATGTGAATGGAAGGGGAGAGGGAGTGGGAAAGGGGAGGGTTGCGGGTTGGAGGGACGTTATGGGGGGAAGCCATTGTAATCAATATTCTGTACTTTGGAAATTTATATTCATTAAATAAAAGTTAAAATAAAGAAAAAAAAGAAAACACTAAGATAGTATCATCATGGGGCTGGTGCTGTGGTATAGTAGGCTAAGCCTCCACCTGTGGCGCCAGCATCCCATATGGGCATCAGTTCATGTCCCAGCTGTTCCACTTCTGATCCAGCTCCCTGTTAATGGCTTGGGAAAAGCAATGGAAGATGGCCCAAGTGTTTGGGACCCTGCCACCCACATGGGAGACTTGGGTTGAAGCTCCTGGCTCCTGGCTTCAGCTTGGCCCAGCACTGGCTCTTGCAGCCATCTTGGGAGTGAACCAGCAGATAGATAGATTTGCTTTCTGTGTGTGTGTGTGTGTGTGTCCTTCTCCCTGTAACTCTTTCAAAAAATAAATAAATCTTAGAAAATAAAATAGTTTAGGCCGTTGCCGTGGCTCACTAGGCTAATCCTCCGCCTGCGGTGCTGGCACTCCGGGTCCTAGTCCGGGTTGGGGCGCCAGTTCTGTTCTGGTTGCTCCTCTTCCAGTCCAGCTCTTTGCTGTGGCCTGGGAAGGCAGTGGAGGATGGCCCAAGTGCTTGGGCCCTGCACCCGCATGGGAGACCAGAAGGAAGTGCATGGCTCCTGGCTTCGGATCAGCGCAGTACGCCAGCTGTAGTGGCCATTTTGGGGGGTGAACCACTGGAAAAAGGAAGACCTTTCTCTCTGTTTCTCTCTCACTGTCTAACACTGCCTGTCAAAAAAAAAAAAAAGAAAAGAAAAGAAAAGAAAATAGTTTTAAAAATTACAAATTTTTCAAAGGATATACTGTAAACCATGTTGTATTTTGTTTTTGTTGAGGGACTCTATATTTCCATTGAGTTTGTTTGGTTTTCTTCTATTTTGGAAGGGTTTAGATTAATGACTGTAGACCATTAGTCACAAATCATGAGCACTGAGAAAGGTTTTAGATGTCTTCCATGTCAACTCTCAGCTGGGTTCATGAATTCCTCATACTAATTCCCTAGGTATTGTTTGGATTTGCTTTGTCACTTGCAGTAACTCTAAAATCATAACCTAGGTAGGGGATAACATTTTTAAAAACATGTATTTGGTTATAATACATAAATATTTCATACAACATATTTTGAATAATTTAGATATGGACAGTTAAGTCTGTATGGTCAAATTGTATAAATATGTATCATGCAAATGTAAATTATAATTGTAAGTTTACTCTTAACATTAATGCAACTATTCCATCAAATCACTGGTGGTAAAACATATAAATTCAAACTTGGGTTTGGCCAGGTGTCATTTAGTTTGTGTAATTATAGGGAGAGTTTTTAACAGTTTTCATTTTCATATTGTTTTAGATAAATGAAATAAATACACAGATCAATCAGCTGATTGAGAAGAAAATGATGAGAAATGAACCAATTGAAGGAAAACTCTCACTATACAGGCAACAGGTAAGACCATTAGAATACAGACCCACATATCTGTAATCTTACTGGTCCATATTTTTTTCAAAGATTTATTTATTTACTTATTTGAAAGTCAGAATTAGAGAGAGATAATGAGAGAGAGAGCTCTTCCATCCTCTGGTTTACTTCCCAAATGGCTGCAACGGCTGGGGATGGGCCAGGCCAAAACCAGGAGCCAGGAGCTTCTTCCTGATCTCCCACGTGCGTGCAGGGGCCCAAACACTTGAGCTGTCCTCCACTACTTTCCCAGGCCGATAGTGGGAAGCTGGATCAGAGTGGAGCAGTGAACCAGCGGATGGAAGACTTCTCTCTCTCTCTCTGCCCCTCTCTCTCTCTCTCTCTCTCTCTCTGTCTCTCTCTGTAGCTCTGCCTTTCAAATAAATAAATAAATCTTAAAAAAAATTTTTAGGCCGGCGCCATGGCTCAACAGGCTAATCCTCCGCCTTGCAGCGCCGGCACACCGGGTTCTAGTCCCAGTCGGGGCGCCGGTTCTGTCTCGGTGCCCCTCTTCCAGGCCAGCTCTCTGCTGTGGCCAGGGAAGTGCAGTGGAGGATGGCCCAAGTGCTTGGGCCCTGCACCCCGTGGGAGACCAGGATAAGTACCTGGCTCCTGCCATCGGATCAGTGCGGTGCGCCGGCCGCAGCGCGTTGGCCGCGGCGGCCATTGGAGGGTGAACCAACGGCAAAAGGAAGACCTTTCTCTCTCTCTCTCTCTCTCACTGTCCACTCTGCCTGTAAAAAAAAATAAAAAATAAAAAATAAAAAAAAATTTTTTAAAGTCACCAGCTGTTATCTATAGTGCTAAAATGAGAAGGAAGTAAAGAATAAATGTTCTTCTGTCATTGCTAATGTCCAGATTATAGCACAGAATTAGTAGAAAAGCCATAGAAGAGTCATGTTCATGTTCAAAATGCAATACACCTGATAATACTTAGTTTCCTTAGCATCTGCCAACTGATGATAAAAGTATTTGTGTTCTTATCTGTGAATATGGAATTTAATTCTTTAAATGAAAATTTTCCTTAGGTGATATAAATTAAAATAGTTATCATCTTTAATGAGTTAAAGACAATATACTTGGGTTTAAAGTTAGTTTGTAAGTGTAGAATAAGTTAAACTTTAGTATTAAAGCATTTATAATTTTATAGACAACTATTAGATTGTGAGATCTATCTATATATAATATATCTTATTATGTATTTGTAGACAAAAGATGCAACTGAATGCTGTGATTTACTTGAAAAGACTCCAAGCTGGAGGAGTTTAGCATGAAGAGCAATCTATAATGTTACTGAATACTAGAATACTGCAGTAATTCTGTAGAGAGACATTCCTTCATCACCTTCATTTATTTAAAGCAGGAAGGTCAATAGAATTTTTAAAAGAGTTCGTACCAGAGATTCCCCATCTCCTTTCAAACTTGTTTGAAGAAAATATTTTTACTGTTTCAGTTAAGAGGACAGTCTGGCTAATGCTTTTTTTAAACTAGTGCAGTCATGGCTCATTTAAGGAAATACCCTAGGAGTTGCTGCTGATATAAATGATACATTCATGGCCAAGGGCAGTCTTCTGGATTGTGTAAACATTTGCATAATTTTTTGGTGAGTCAGTTTGATTTTGAACCTGCATTTTATTGATTAGAGTGCTCCAAATATAACAAGATATTTTAACTTTTCATTATAAAACTATGCATATTAGGCCGGTGCCCTGGCTCACTAGGCTAATCCTCCGCCTTGTGGCGCCGGCACACCAGGTTCTAGTCCCGGTCGGGGCGCCGGATTCTGTCCCGGTTGCCCCTCTTCCAGGCCAGCTCTCTGCTGTGGCCAGGGAGTGCAGTGGAGGATGGCCCAAGTGCTTGGGCCCTGCACCCCATGGGAGACCAGGAAAAGCACCTGGCTCCTGGCTCCTGCCATCGGATCAGTGCAGCGCGCCAGCCGCAGCGTGCCGGCCGCGGCGGCCATTGGAGGGTGAACCAACGGCAAAGGAAGACCTTTCTCTCTGTCTCTCTCTCACTGTCCACTCTGCCTGTCAAAAAAAAAAAAAAAAAGTGTTTAAAAATAAAACTATGCACATTGAATTTAATACGATGACTTGTGTTGTGGTTTTGAAAATGAAGCATTCTTGTTTCCTTCCAGTGAAAGGAGATCTGCATGCAGGAAAACCACACTCAGCGTTAACTTCTATTTACTTTTCTAGAATGTATTTTCATTAGCATTTGAGTGTTACATGAGAAGACTTATTGTTGGTGCATTTTTAGTTCTCTACTGCTATGTCCTATATTTTCTGGGCTTTTGTCTCCCAAAATATTTTAGGTTCATATTTAATATACATTGTATCCTTATAACATGTATGTAATTGGTGATGATGGGCAATAAAGCAAGGGATATCGATCTGAAGAAGCCATGCTGATACTGAAAATTCAGCTTGGTAAAATCTAAAAAGTAGTTTCACAAGATAATAGAAATTTGATATGTGCCTTACTTTATGTTCACATTAAATACACAACTAGGCATCCATCATTTCTCGTAAAAAAGAAGCCAAAGCTGAGGAACTTCAGGAGGCCAAGGAGAAGTTAGCTAGCCTGGAGAGAGAAGTGTCGGTGAAGGCAAGCCAGAACCGCGAATTTGATGGTACCGAGGTTCTGAAGGGAGATGAGGTGAGTTGAGTTATCTTATGGGATAGATGGTGTGAGCATTGCTTTAGTCTGAAACAATGAGTTTGACTTTCTTAGTCTGAATGTTAATGGGAAATTAACCTGATTTTATAAAATTTATTTATTTAAGCCAGAAAAGTCTTTATGTAAAAGTACTGAGAAATTCGTGATAGAAAGTAGCAGATATCTCAATGGTTTTATTAGATAATATTTTAAATTATCGCTTTTTAGTTAAGAAAATGTATATTGCATTTACTTAAATTACTGTATTGTAAAAGTCATACAAAATTAGTAAGAACTAACAGATTGGGCCGGCGCCGCGGCTCACTAGGCTAATCCTCCGCCTAGCGGCGCCGGCACACCGGGTTCTAGTCCCGGTCGGGGCGCCGGATTCTGTCCCGGTTGCCCCTCTTCCAGGCCAGCTCTCTGCTGTGGCCAGGGAGTGCAGTGGAGGATGGCCCAGGTGCTTGGGCCCTGCACCCCATGGGAGACCAGGAAAAGCACCTGGCTCCTGGCTCCTGCCATGGGATCAGCGCGGTGCGCCGGCCGCAGCGCGCCGGCCGCGGCGGCCATTGGAGGGTGAACCAACAGCAAAAAGGAAGACCTTTCTCTCTGTCTCTCTCTCTCTATCCACTCTGCCAAAAAAAAAAAAAAAAAAAAAAAAAAAGAACTAATAGATTGGCCAGAACTGTAGTGTAGGGGGTAAAGCTGCCACCTGCAGTGCTAGCATCCCATATGGGTGCTGGTTCGAGTCCTGGCTGCTCCACTTCCTATCTAGCTCCCTGCTATGACTTGGGAAAGCAATAGAAGATGATCCAAGTCCTTGGGCCCCTGCACTAATGTGGGAGACTGGGAAGAAACTCCTGGCTCCAGGCTTCGGATCAGCCCAGCTCCGGCCATTGCAGTCATCCTGGGGAGTGAATCAGCAGATGGAAGACCTCTCTCTATATATAGATATATAGATATAGATATAGATATAGATATAGATAGATATATGTGCCTCTGACTCTCTGTAATTCTACTTTTCAAATAAATAAATATTTAAAAAATAAAAAAAGAACTAACAGATACAAAAATTCTTATTTGTTGATAAATGTATTTCCATTTCCGTGATATGAAAATATCTTCAGTAAGTTACTTTGTCAGTAATGTGTATTACTTTGTCAGTAATGTATAATAATGGCACATTTAAAATTATATGATCACAGATGCTTACTAATTTCAAAACTATAATTATATCTTACATTACTCTTATTTAAAAAAAAAATTTTATTTATTTATTCGAAAGAGTTACAGAGAGAGAGGGAGAAAGGTAAGTCTTCCATGTGCTGGTTCATTCCCCAAATGGCTACATTTGCCAGGGCTGGGCCAAGCTGAAGCCAGGAACTTCTTCCAGGTCTCCCACATGGATGACAGGGGCCCAAATACTTAGACTGTCTTCTAGTGCTTTTGTCAGGCCATTTTCAGGGAGCTAGATTGGAAGTGAAGCAGCTGGGACACAAACCAATGCCCATATGGGATGCCGGCATTGCAGGTGGTGGGTTTACCTGCTACACCACAGCACCGGCCCGTACTCTGTACTTTAAATTTTTACATTTTTCTTGATTTAAGAGGCAAAGACACACACACAGAGAGAGAGAGAGAGAAAGAGAGTGAGACAGAGAGAGAGGGAGAATGAGCTCCCGTCTACTGGTTTACTCCCTAGATACCCACCATAGCTAGTGCTAGTACTTTGCCAGGCTGAAATTAGGAGGCAAGAATTCAACCTAGTTCTGTTCCACATGGGTGGCAAGAACCCAGTTGCTTGAGCCGTCACTATTGTCTCCTAGGATTATCAGGAATTTGGAGTCAGGAGCCAGAGCCAGATATTGACCCCAAGAACTCTGTTATGGTTTGAGGGCATCTTAACCAGTGTCTTAACTGCTAGGCTAAATTCCCACCCCTACACTTTACATTTTAATCATGGTTTAAATAGCTGTTGTTTCATTTATCCTTTTGTCAAATTCATAAGATAAGTAAGAAAAATAATATTGTTTGTAGATGGCTAAACTTAAGCACCAAAAATATAATTCCTTCTTCCCTTTTCATATTAGTGCAAGTAAAAGTGAATGAAGAAAGCCGAATATCTTGTCTTAGTTCAGTGCTTCTTTATTGTAAATGAAGTGATAGGTCTAATATTTTTAAAGATTTATTTATTTATTTATTTGAAAGGCAGAGTGAGAGAGAGAGAGAGAGAGAGAGAGAGAAATCTTATAAATCTTCTATCTGCTGGTTCACTTCCCAAATGGCTGCAATGGCCAGAGCTAGGCCAATCCAAAGCCAGGAGCCAAGAGCTTCTTCTGGGTCTCCTTGATGAGTGCAGGGGCCCAAGCACTTGGACCATCTTCTGCTGCTTTTCCAGGCCATCAGCAGAGAGCTGGATCTGAAGTGAAGCAGCCAGGACTCCAACTGGCACCCATGTGGGATGCTGACGCTGCAGGCAGCAGCTTTACCCACTGTGCCACAGCAGCAGGCAGAGAGGTCTTATTTTAATTCCAAAACATTGCCGGTATTTTTCAAACTCTCAGAAGTTTTTAAATTTTTTATTAGCTACTGTACCTCAACAGAAGCTATTTTGAAAAGCTGCTCATGTCCAGACTTCATTTTTGTCTCTGAAAAGTGATTGAATCTATACTGTTACAAATTGACAGGGAATTCTCACTGTGCGAATACAGATTGTTCCCACAGTCCCACTTTTCTCTGCAGTGCTTCTGACTTACCCCCCCAGTATGCCATTTAGCCTCCTGGGGAAGTAGAGGATGTAGGAAGGCAACACTCTACTGAAAAATTCCTTTGGCTTTTAACATCCACTTCCAGATTGCTTTAAGACATGAGAGTGTTTTAAATGATGCTTGGAAGCCAACAGAATGTGCTTCGTGACATCCTTGCTGTCTAGGGGGAAGAAAAAGATTAATTATGCAGCAATTTTGCTTTACAAGAGACCATGCTTCTTCCTAGTATTTTTATCTTAAAAATATATTCCAATTGACAGAAATACTAATTGTTATGGCCACATTTGGCATAAATTGTGCTGTTAGATGTTCCCTCTGGGCAAATGTGAGGGAATAGCCCAGTGCCAAGTTACTACTTTTTTTTTTTTTTTTTAGATTTATTTTATTTATTTGAAAGGCAGAGAATGAGAAAGAGAGAGAGAGAGAGAGGTCTTCCATCTGCTAGGGAGAGAGAGAGAGAGATTTCCATCTGCTGGTTCACTCCACAAATGGTTGTACTGGCCAGGGCTGGACTAGGCCAAAACCAGGGCCATGGAACTCCATCTGGATCTCCCACTTGGGCGGCAGGGACCCAAGTAATTGACCTCTCATTTGCTCCTTTCCCAGGCAGCTTAGCAAGGAGCTGGATCAGAAATGGAGCACCCAGGACTTAAACCAGTGCTCTGATATGGGATGTCAGTATTGCAGGCTTAACATGATGTACCACAATGCCAGCCTTTAGTCTTCATCCAATTGTTTTAAAGATTTGTTAACTTTATTATAAAGGCAGTTATGAAGAGAAAGAGAGATCTTTGATCTGATACTTTACTCCCCAGATGGTTGCGTGGCCACGGCTGGGTGAGGAACTCTATTTGGGTCTGCCAAATGGATGGCAAGGGCCCAATTATTTGGGCATCTTTTGCTGCCTTCCCTGTACATTAGTGGGGAGATGGATTGGAAGTGGAGCAGCTGGGATTCCAACTGGTATTCTTCATATGAGATGCCAGCGTTGCAAGCAGCAGCTTAACCTGTTGCACCGCAGGAGAAGTAGCTGATGCTGAAAAAGAGCATACTTTAAACATTTTAATTGAGAGAAGGAGAGAGAATAAGCAAGCGCTCATCTGCTGGTTCACTCCCCAAATGCCCATAATATCCAGTACTGGGCCAAGCCAAAGCTGGGATCCAGGAGCTCAATCCAGGTCTCCCATGAGGGTGGCAGGAACTGTTACTTGAGCTGTCACTTGTGCTTTCTTGGATCTGACAGCAGAAAGCTAGCGTCAGGAGCCAGAGCCAGTAATGACCCCAGGCTGCAGGTGTGCCAACCAGCATCCAAACTGCTAGTCCAAATGCTCACCGTGCCTACTTTTTTTTTAAGGGGAAAAGGATAACTTTGGGAATGATAAGGTCAACTTAATGTTTGAACAATGTCTGGTCAGAAAGTAGAACAAATCAAGTAAATTATTTGGCAGTCACCTAAAAGAACAGAAGGTATTGGGGAACATTAAGCATAATTTTATAAGGAACAAATCTTGGTAGATCAGCTTTATTTTCAACTTTGATAAAGTGATAGGCCATATGGACAAAAGGGAGGAAATTTGTTATACTTAAAATTATATAATAAGCTGGACTTCACTGAGATTTTCGATAATCACCAAAAATTTTGTCTTTTGCCACCCATCTGTTAACACAGCTGGTGAGAGGGTATTGAGAAATAACTGTTAGATACTTGGAAAGAATATGCGAGGAATCACATACGGAATGCGGGAAGGGGGGACTAGCATTTACTGAGCTCTTTTATACAAAGTTCTGTGTTAGCTGCTATACAAACATACGTTTCTTTGATTCTTGCAAGAGGTGTTATTTTCATTTTATAGTTTAGTAAGACTCAGGGAGATGTGGGTTAACATAGCTATTAAGTGGCTAACCTAAGTCCAGGTCTCTTCCACATGTTTCTGTTGACCTTGAACAAATTACTTAACACTTTTGAAGGGTCTCCATCTATTAAAAGGGAACGATTGTTCTTCATTGTCTTTAGGAGAAGCACATAAAATAATGGATGTCAAAGTTTCTGAGAAACTAGAAGGCTTAGTCAGTAGATAACATCAGGCATCTAGCTGGCTGATCTTGGGAAAGTTTCTTAGCTCTCTTGTACTGGCTATAAAATATGATTGCTACTAATAGACACCTAGAGTTCTTGTGAAGATTAACTGACTTGGTACCTGTAAGGTGCTTAGAATAGTGTGAGGCATATAG